ACCTACGAGAAAAATCTAGATACATTTCGTCTGTAATCGGGCGATACACGACTAGTTGTCATCTAGATTACTAGTTGGAAAAGGGACTTTTAACTAGATGCGTCTGCAGGCGCATCTAGCAATAGTTGAATCGATCTATTATCGGGTGATAAATCAATAGTTGCAACTAGAAAAAATCTAGTAATCGTCCAATTACTAGATTTCCACTGTGGTTACACAGTAGTTGCAATCGAGTAAAAATCTAGTAATCTAGATGAATCTGGCGATACTAGATTTTTTTTTGACGCTTGGGTAGTGGCGATTAACTTGTTTTTAATGCTGCAGTACCACCATTAATACAATTTTTCAAAGGTTTATCAGCAAAGAAACTACAAAATGATGTGGAAGAATTATCACAAAAGTTAGTGCAAGCAAATGAAGATAGTGGTAAATTAAAAAGAAAACTATCGGATATGATACAAAATCATGGTCGTATTATGGTATGATTCGAGTTCGATGAAGCAACATCTCTGGTAAAATTTTATACAGATTTATTACAAAATGTTAGAGAAACTGAAGAAATTTGTAGAAGACCATTAGTTTATTTTTAAAGAAATATATACATTGACAATCATCGGCAACACCGGCATTTCACTTAATATCGAAAATTGCCGTTTTATAATCTTGATAATACTTTTTAAATAAAAGTATTCTTTTACGCATAAAATCAAGAAGTACATCATTGAAACCGTCATCAACATAATGCCAGATCAGCTATCCGAGAGTAGAAGAGTTCGAGATGAAGAAAGACGCAAATGAAAACTTGCTGAACGACATAACTAGAAACTTTTGGATGGTGGTTCTCAAAAACTGAACATAAATCAGCTGTTTGATTGTGTACATATTTCAGAATATGGTGAGCAGTTTACCTTTCGTCAAATTTTGTCTGTCGATTCTTATATTCTAGTAAGTAAGTTGTAATCCAAGTCAAGCAAACGATTAAAATTCAATTGAGAAATTCTTATTTATATAAACTTTTCATAAGGTTGGAAAAGCGTCACGTAAATATCCAAAGTTGGAGAAAGCCAACTGCGTATACAGTGCTTTTCTTTTTGATTTATACTTTCATACAGAAGAAGCAGTAATCAAATCGGGCTATGCTCACAGCATGCCACTAGAAAAGAGGCTCTCCTTTTTTTTATGCTGCTCTTAGAATTTTTATCAACTGAATGTAAAATATCATGCAAAAAAAACGTTTTCTTCAATGTATCAGAGTAATAGAATGTTCACGAGTGTGGTCAGAATAATCAGTCGCTGTCAAAAGACTCGGGATGTACTGTGGGGTTTGTTGAATCAGAATATTGTGGAGCTTTTCAAGAGCTATTTTTCTGTACTAAACACTAGTTACATCCTCTCTTATCTACGGGATTAAAATGGTTATAACATCAATTACGTTGATTTTGAAAGGTGTTTTGGGGCTCGTATTTGACGTATAAAGGATTGGGCCAATGATATATATTAATAAATTTAATCAGAATATTGTGCCATTATATCTTACATAAAAAGATCCTAAATTCGAAGTCTCTGGGTCAGAAAATTAAAATCGAAGTTTTCAAAAATCTTAAATTTACATTTTTTAAATTAAAAGTTCAGTAGTAAGTAAAGGCCGAATTCGTGATCAGCATGAAAAACTACGTCTGATGATGGACTCCTATCGATTTCCCGATGTAAAAAAAAACTTGATCAGCGAAGTGTCGCGTTACGTGGACAAACCGTATGACAATTAGGGTTCTACAGTTAACTGCAGCTGGTGCATGCCTAAGTGATATGAGCAGTTTATGTGTAGAAAACAAGAAAATGAACGATAGTAGCGCACTACATGAGCAGTGCGTTTAAGCACGAAACTTTATATAATATATGAATAGCTCAATATCTATCGTATTACCGTTGTTATTAATGTGCTCCAAATTCTGAATTACAGCACTATCTTATTTTTGGCTTAATCATACATCATTCGATAAAGTATATTTCACTATGATCAAGAATATCTGGTTTTTAGCTTTTCCAGTTCGCATTATCAGTGAAAAAAAGTCCAAAAACTTGAAGGATCACTTTTTTCAAAAAAGCACTAACATTTTTTAAAAACTGAATAACTTGGTTCCACCTCAATTCGTAGCCGTGACACTATGTTTTCTTATTGAGGGTTGAAACATGGGCATACAATGGGGCTTGCCCCGATTTACCCACATTTTATTGCTATGTTTAAATATTGGAAGTTTATTTATAACGCAAGACCAAGCTCTTCGCTTGTATGTAAAAAAAACTGCATCTAGAAAACTGTATTTCAAGATTCAACACCAAAAAATATCTGCTGGGCGCGAAACAGGACCGATATATCTTCGATTTCGAGATCCTCATCTTGCAAACCTAGCGCAGCTCTTTGGTTAACACATGAAGCCAAGTTTCAGACGCCATTCGATTCGCCTTGAAACGTAGAAAAAAAAATATGAATCGCTTTTTTTACAAATGTTTTCGTTCTTGAGATATTCGAATTTTGTTAAAATTTAGCTATTTTCGCCTAAAATCGAGCAGGTCGTTTTTCGCTAACTTTTTCATTTCTTCATATATATTTTTCAAAAATAGACTGTTGGATAGCCCTTGAAAGTCTCTACAAACTGAGCTAGTCAGACAATCTAGGTCGGTCAGCGCGGTCATCAAGAACATGCAAAAAACGCGTTGGGCCTACGGAAAACGCCTGTGGAGCACTCCTTTAGTCATTTTTCTGTCTCAATGCGAAACTTTATATCTTTTAAAAGAATACTTTTGCATAGCCTGTGAAATTCTGTACAAACCGAACTA